CCGCCACTGTATAACATGACTTTATATACCTCCTCTGAATCTGACCCCAAAACTATAGGAAACAATAATCGGACAAATTTTCAAAACCGACCCTTTTGGGTTTTTAATTGCAAAAAACGACCGGTTTTAAAAATATTTACAAAAACCGACCTGTTTTCAGCCAGGGGCTGAAAACAGGTCGGTTTTTGTAATTTTTTTTGGGAAACTTCACGGGAGTTGAACTCCCGTGAAGTTTTTCTCATAACAAAACTTCACGGGAGTTGAACTCTCGTGAAGTTTGGGAAATTTTTTTTTAAAAACCGACCCAGTTTCAACCAACTGGGTCGGTTTTTATAAATAAGATTGAAATGGGTCGTTTTTTGCAATTAAAATCCCAAAGTGGTCGGTTTTGAAAATTTGTCCAACAATAATCATACGAATAAAAAGGCAACTTGCTATGCTGCAAAATCTGTCAAGAACCGCATACGGACGAAGCCTCCGCTTGTCTCGAATTCATTTCCCTCCTCTCGTCGAACCCGCGTCTTTCTCTTTCTTCGAACGAACTTCTCTCCATGGCTGCCTAACGTTCGCCGCGCTCTCCGTCGCAGAGATTCGTTACCTCCCCAAACCGCCGCCGCCTCCTCCTTCCTCCTCGGCCCAATCTCCGAACCCAGCTTTTCTCCTACCGCCTCCAGCGACGAAACGTACGTGGAGACGCAGCTCCCGTTCACCGGCCACAACTGCGAGCCTCCTTCCCGATCCGTCTCTACCTCCTCCTCCGAGCTCCTCTCCTTCTTCAGAGACATGGCTCTGATGCGCCGCATGGAGATCGCCTCCGATTCTCTCTACAAATCGAAACTAATCCGCGGTTTCTGCCACCTGTACGATGGCCAGGAGGCCGTTGCGGTCGGCATGGAGGCCGCTATCACCAAGAAGGACGCCATCATCACCGCCTACCGCGACCACTGCATCTTCCTCAGCCGCGGTGGGACCCTCCTTCAGGCCTTTGCTGAGCTCATGGGTCGACGGGATGGATGCTCCCATGGAAAAGGGGGATCCATGCATTTCTACAAGAAAGATGCTAATTTTTATGGAGGGCACGGGATCGTTGGGGCTCAGATCCCGCTGGGATGTGGGGTTGCTTTTGGGCAGAAGTATATGAAGGATGAGAGTGTAACTTTCGCCTTGTATGGAGATGGGGCTGCCAACCAGGGTCAGCTGTTTGAGGCTCTGAATATGTCGGCTCTGTGGGATTTACCTGCCATCTTGGTTTGCGAGAATAACCATTGTAAGCAAGAAACATGAGATCTATTTTTTAAAGAATTTTTCTGATAATTGTTGCTTGATACTCTTCGTTGTTGTTGATGCTGTTGTGTTTCAGATGGAATGGGAACTGCAGAATGGAGAGCAGCCAAGAGCCCGGCGTACTACAAGCGTGGAGATTATGTTCCTGGTCTCAAGGTCGCAATTTTAACTACCATCACATCTGAGTTATATAAGAATTTGATACAGTAGATGGATAGAAATTCATGACCTGATAGTTGTTTTCTGTTTCGACCTGATCGATTTTGGATCTTAGCAAGCGAGAATTAGGCTCATATCTCTAGCTTTTGGGGAACTGGGTGTGGGACATGATGTTTGCTAGCATATAAGAGAAAATATTGGATAAATTTCACAAAAAGCCTCAAACTTTGGGCTGTTTCTGGCAAAACCCTCTTAACTTTGTTTTTTTTCAACTAGACTCTTAAATTTTCCCATGAAACTTTCAACTTTAACACCGTCAAATTTGAACAATACATCTAAGGTTAGCTGTAGCTGTAGAGTTTTGTGTAACAGCTCTTGAACAATAAAAAAGCTCTCTTCTAGTGAGTGTGTTTGGATGAAGAAACCATCTTAGAAAATTAATGTGAATTTCATGATTTTCTAATATTAGAAGCAAATTCAATATGAGATTTGAAACTTTTAAACAAGAGAAAAAAAGGATTGGGAGCTCTAGCCTTGACATGGGTTCAAGGAAAAACAATGTTTGAGGTTCATAGGAAAAGATAGGGGTTTTTGTGGGAAGAGTTAGAGGGCTAAATGGGGAAAACAAAATTCGAGGGAATTCATAGGCAATGAGCTGAAGTTTTTTCTTTGGTGATTTTTTTTTGGGGGGGTGGGGGTTGGTTGTGAAATTTACCCTAATATTATTATTAGTACATAATAAGTTAGCTTATTGAACAATATATAAGAATTGAAACTGCAGTTGGTATACTACGTTAATCCTGGTCATGTTGAATCAGCCAAATGTTTATTTTGAGCTTCTCGAACTTAACTCCATGATTCATAGATAATTGCCTAATTTTTCTCATTCTTATTGATGATATACATTTCTAGTTTAATAGGATGGAGATGAGATATATGAGAGAACTAATTGGGCATATTATTGCTGATGGTGGAGCAATCAACAAAAATGTTTCACAAATGACATTTTGCATATTAAAGGAATGAATGAAAAGAAGGCAAGTGTGGATGAAACGATGATTTGTAGATGACAGATGGATGATTATACTAAAAATTTCAGTGCATATTGCAACTTAATTATGTGAAGTAGTTGCTAACATTTTTATTAGCTGATGTGCATTCTATGATGTAAATTTGGTAAGAAATGATTAGAAGTATCATTTTCACCCGATAATTTGATTTTGTGCTTGAACATCTTGTGATGCATAATTTCAGAAGTACATGTATGTTTGCCTTTGCGAAGATGAGAGTACATGTGCGCAATGTTTTAAAAGTGGGCGTCTAGCCTACCTAGGTGTCTGCCCAGACCTAGGCGTTACCCGCTAGGTCTTGGAAGCGCTTAGATGGTACCACTTAGGTTTTTGTTTATGATTTCCTCTATAGCAGTCTCCCAACTCTAACTTCCTCTGAACTCCTCCAACCTCGTCTACTAATTATGAATGCCGTCACCTTCTCCGACTTTCAGAAAACCTCCTCTACTACCTCTTAAACAAAGGAAGAAATCTACCTCGGTGCCAGTCTAGTACCTATCGGTGCCTAGCGCTTTTGATAATATGTGATTTTATTATCAATTATCGTAACAAAAAAAAAAGAAAATCGCTTAGGCCAGCCTAGGCTCTAGGCGCCAGGTCCGATGCCTAAGCTACATAGCGCGTTATGTAACATTGCATGTGTGTTTCCCTTTGCGAAGAGCGATTGGAAGATCATTATCATCATGGATAGTAGCGGTACTAGAGGGTATGTACGAGTGTATTATCGGTGCCTAGCGCTTTTGATAATATATGAATTTATTATCAATTGTTGTAACAAAGAAAGGAAAATTGCTTAGGCCAGCCTAGGCTCTAGGCACCAGGTCCAACATCTAAGCTATGTAACATTTTTTGTAACATTGCGTGTGCGTTTGCCTTTGCAAAGAGCGATTGGAAGATCATCATTATGGATAGTAGCAGTACGAGAGGGTTGTACAAGTGTATTATCGTCAGATTGTGTTTGGAACTGGAATTTCAGTGAATGATGGCACAAAAGCATGAGATGTTTCATTTATAAACTTGGATAGGATAAAAAAACATGATGGTGTGCTGTATCTAATGATAAATCAGTATTTTGTGACCCGACAACTGTTACCTCATGGACTAAAAAGTTATCGAGCTCGTCATTAGATTCATGAGGAGACTCATTAATAAAACCTAACTAAGTCTCGATTAAAGTAACATTTGCAGAAAGTATGTGTCAATCTAAAGATGAACAATAAAGAGCTATATCCCTTCTGAGTATGAGAATAATCAAGGATGACACTCTTAATAGAATCGAGAATCAAGTTTTGTTTTATGGGATCATGATTATTGACAAAACACAGACCTAAACATCTTATGACGCTAAGAAACCAACGAACTGTTAGGATACAAAAATGAATATGAGATTTTGTTGCTAAAATTGTGAACATGCAGTTTATTAAATATCATGTAGTCAAAACAGGATAACTTCAAAACATTTTTGGGATCTGCCTGTCCATTAGAAGTGTTTATGCAATTTTAAGTAAATAATGGTTTTTACATTCAGCCATTCCATTTTGTTGAGAATTATACACAAGGGCATTTGTGCAAAATATTGATTTGCTCCATAAAATCTGTGAAGCATGAACCAAAAGACTCCTTAGCACTATCATATCTTAATTTTTTATAGAAATATGAAATTGGTTTTGCATCTTTAAACAAAAAGTTTTAAAAATTGAAAAATACTTTAGAGCACTATTTCATAAGATAAAGCCAATTAATATGAGAAATCATGTTCAAAACTCATTTATAATATTTAAAACCAAGCTTTGAATTATAAGACAGTGACTTTATATGTCAACATGAAGTAAAGTAAATAAGCCCTTTTATTGAATCTAATAGGATACCATATGCATGATGTTTTTTTATTGAAAAAGCTCACAATTATTAGATTAAACATGACTCAAAACAGCATCAATAGTTTCAATATATGCAAAGAGTGGTATCCAAACCAATAGTGGTAGTCAACAGATGATATAGAATTAGAACACGATAATTAGTCAGTACCAAATTGAGCTCTTATAATCCGCCTCGCTAAATTCTTGTGGCAATCATCTTCCTTGTCACAAGTTTTTAAAATTCACAATCCGTAGGAATGAATGTTGATGACAATTTAGCACTCAATAATTAGACTAACTGATCACAAATTGTAAGAGAACGTAGTGAGACAAAGCACATAAGATAATGGTAAACTAAGTGTAGTACTAGTTGTTCTTATATCCTCATTTACTAGTGTGATAGAAGGGGAGGGAGAAGCAAACACAAGGGAGATAGAAGGAGAGAAGTGGACTCAAGGAATGATAAAATATCTTTGTTTCCAGTCACATAATCATTTGTCATGAACCTGACCCCATGAATCTATGACCAGGGGAGTACAACAAAAACATGCATTGAGATTAGCTTTCAGTGTTAGATTTATTGTAGTAGAGATAATTGTGCCTGTATTAACCAGAATTGTTGGAATTGTTGTTGTATTTGCTCTGCAGCTACTAAACTCTTAATATTAAGTGTCCTTCCTTAGCTATGCCCACATAGGTACCACATCAAAGGAAAATGGTACCTAGTGTGGCTAGGCTCCTTGCAGTAGTAGTAATAAATAACATCATCGTGTCCTCATCCTCCTATTAGTCACCACTAAAACTATGCCTCATCCTCTTGGAGGCCTCCCTTGGGCTACAAGTGAAGATCGATTATGTGTCCTCATCAATAATACTCTAGTACGGGAAAGAGATCGCCATTTACATGAAGTGGTATGACTCTACGAGTGATCTGACAATATAGTTGCCAGTCACTTATGGTCGTGCTAAAGAATACTCTGTAGAGAGAGCACCTAAAAAGATGCGTTCGAGGTGATAAGGAGCATATGTTGAATTTCTTCTGATAGGTGATTTTTAATCACCATATGACTGCCTTAAAATCCAATTCCCCTTGGTGCAGAACAACTCTTGAATAACATCATAAATTATGTTATATTGGTACTTCTAAATACAATTATCATAGAAAATCCACAACTCCTCCGCTGCTCTTCAACAAAGCAACAAATCCTTAATGTAGGGCTTCACTTTAGTCAAAGTCTAATGAAGTAGCATGTTATTGCGTCAAAACAGTTGTCGTTAGGAAAATCTTTATTCCAGTGACCAATCTTCTCTTGCACAGTAACATAAATCTTAACCTTATTTCATTGCAAAAAGTTGTTCTTACTTCTCGCTAAGTTTCCTGTTCATATTCGTGACCAGAATATTACCTCCAAAATATGGTCTATGAGCTAAGACTTGATAAATAGTGAAGAAGGACTAACCATTATACCATCATATTTGACTTTGAATAGCACTTAATGAAATTTATTGAAAATTTTCAATTTTTGATAAAAACCTAGGGAACTGAATTCTTCGATTTTGATAAGAAGGCTGAGGAACTAGTAGAATTTAGTTTCAAACATTAGATAAGTGTCGATAATTCATTCAAACATTCTTGAATTCCCTTTAAATTTGCTTTTAAGGAAAATGCAGCTTTAATTTCCTCATCGCTTGGAAAGAAAAGGAAATAGTTGTTTTCCGTCCAAAAATAATGTGTCAAGTTGGTAATTCCCATCTCTTATTATACAAACATTTAATCAATTATTTTAAATTTAGTGCATGGAAATTAGCTGAAAGGTCCCTTGATTGGAATGGAATTTAGAAGAGGCACAAATATTAAAGGAATGCATAAACCAAAGGAAGCTAATGCAAATAGATGAATCAAGAACTGCTCTATAAATAAATTATTAACATAAAGTTTATTTGTTGGTATTCTTTGGAGATCTCAATGGATGGAAAAGTTGGATGGGGAAATTTCTTGAGTGTGAAGATGAAATTGAGTTTGAGCGAGCTGCTTCGAAGCGACTAAAAATGATTTAGGGAAAGTTACATGAATTAATTTTCAATATTGATGTCTACCACTGCATTATTTTCATTGCGGTTTTATGGGTCATTTTGAGGAAGATTGTGGGAACCTCATTTGACTCTGCCGTCATGTCTCAATCCAAAAAATGTTTCCCCAAGAGACATCTCACAAAGAATCTTGGGTATTAGTAACTAATCACAATTACCAGCACTATTGCCCAATCTAGACAAACATGGACCTTAATGCTCAAACCCACCCAAGAACATGGTGACCATGTGGTGGCTTGGAGATCGCAGCGCAATGTTAGGGCTTTGGTGGCGCTCATTGTGGCGATGGTGGGATTAGTAGCGTGATATCAGAAGAACCAAGGGCAGTGAAGGCGTGGCAATAAGTTAAGGAATTAGAGTATTCAGTGAGGGGGTAAGTCGTTTAGCAATGAAGGTTACAAGCAAGCCATTGATTCATCTTTTAAAGAGTAAAGAGATTAGATTGAATAACTAATAGTCCTATAGTGATAGGTAGGGAATTCATGTCAGGTAAATTTCTTCTCTTTGATAAGATGTATTTGAAGTGAAACAAATTCCCATTCATTCTATTGTGTTCCTAAAGGAACTGTTTAAGCTACTTTTGCAGATCCAAAATTCTTGTTCTTTCTAAGTATTCTTTTTGCATAGAAGAATGCAACTCTTGCAAATACTAGGGTTTGAGTAGTATGCGACACCCTGCCGAGTTTTGAGTAGGCGGAACCATTCTTTCACATTTTGACGGGCAAGAATTTGCTTGGTTTTGTTTTCTTATTTGAGGAGTGAATTTGAGGAGCTGAAAGAGGGAGAGGTGGAGGATCACATTTGAGTGGGGGTTAGAAGGAAGAAATAAGGTTTCGAGACTTGAGAGAAGAGAGAAGAGGCTTTGATACCAGGTTATTTGTGAAATAATAAAGATTATAAAGATAGTTTACCTCTCCTCTCATTCTTTATTTATATACTTATAGATAGATCTATTGTACTATAGGCTAATTGCGAATAGATCCCTATAGTTTTATTTGTGCGGATAAAAGCCCCAAGTAAACTTTTTTGACTCTTTTAAGAGTAAAAAAGTTCACTCAGGGGTCTATCCACACTTGGGTAAATAATACAAGGGGTCTTTCCGCATCAATTAAACAAGGGGTCTATCTCCAATTGGGTGATAAATACAGGAGGTCTATCCCAATAGCCCTTATTTATAATAGGCGGCTAATCCAAATCCTAATTACATAAGGGGTTAAATTAACTTTGTAAACATAATAACTTTCTAACTAAGTGCGCTCATCACAAATGTCATTCTGCACTGGTTTCTAAAATTTAGAAATGTCTTTGTTGGAGGCATGTAACACGACATAAAATATGAAGAGAAAAATTGAGTGCTGTCGACTATTTCCTCTACGAAGAACGTCTAAAACGATTGTCATGTACCTTTTATTTTATTTGCATTGTGTTCTTATGTGATTAGTTGTTTTTATTTGTGCGTATTTTCAGGGGTCATGATTATGCATGCTTTCTATGACAAACCAGATTCTGCATGTTAGTGTTATTATTTTGTGTTTTTAAAGAAGGTTTGATCTACATTTCTCCAATGTGTCTTAATCTTTGTTCAATATCTAGTAGTTTTGCTTTAAAATAATTGGCTTATTTATTACTATGAATTTTTGTTCTTAGCTTTTCTGCTTGATGATTCACAATGCTGCTTTGTAATTACTGTTTCCATCCTTTTTCGAGAAGTGGAAGCCACTGTTCTTCCTTTTAAATTTCCATTGTTCGTCTCCTTTCACTAAACCCCAAGAGTCAACAAAGTCAAGTCTTATTCACCTTTGTTGGGGATTTTATTTTTACTTCCAATATAATTATAGTTGGTTGATTTATTTTCCATAGACGCAGATGTTCTGGTCATGCATTTCAATTTAGGCTTTGGCTTGTTTTCCATGTCAAAGATATATCACAAACTCTTAGTAGAACAAACTCTATTTCTTTCTTCCTTTCTTTTCAGACTTCTTTTGGGCGATTAGAATATTTGTCAGGTTGCTTTTTGGATGTATTTGATTAAAATTACATGATTAATATTGTTGATAGTGATAATAAGAGGTTGGGGATAGCCTGAGGGATTATTGACCAGTCTAAAAAAGCCTGTTACAACCCTCTTAAAAGTAGGGCAGCAGCAGGGTTAAATTTAGGATTTACCATAGGTTGTGTTTCTATGGTTCCAATCCCTTTGAGGGCATCTATTAACTCCTAGCTCCAGCCAACCATGTTCTCCTTTCTATCCCCAAAATAGCGCTCAACCTTGATAATCTCTATAAAGCTTTTATATGTTTAGGGTCAGTGAGGGTGGGGGGTTGTCTTGAATTTTTCTGAACTTATTTTTAAAGATTAGTTTTACATTTTCTTTAAATTTATCCTTTTGTAACTTGATAGCAGACGCTTTTGAAATAGTACAAAGTAATGAGCCTGAAAAGGGAGCTTGAAAACCTGATGGCCAGCTGTCAACCTACAAAGATTAGGTGAAGTCTGGGGTAGAGACTATGGCCATCCCAAAATTTTTGGGGACCGGCTGGGTTCATGCCAAGGTCTGGTATCTCCTGGCACCTTATTGTCCTGGGTGTAGATTTCTATACTGCTGACATTTAAAAATCCTAAAAAGTCTTACATTTTTACAAAATCACATTGCTTGAACTTTAAAAAGAAACAAGTTATTTAAGCAATGAGTCGTTGCTTTCATATTCTATATTTCCAGATTCAGGTGTTGGCGGAACTTATTGTAAGTTTTGGAAGAATTTCTTTATTTCTGGAATATCACTATACTTGCTTATTGTCAAAAGTTTTGAATCGGTGAAGAGACAGCTTTAGGCAATAGGGTATTTAAAGCTTATTGTTGTTAATGTTACTTATCCACGCATTACAGTGTCCTCCATATTTCTAATACTCATTTATTTTTGGTGCAGGTGGATGGAATGGATGCTCTTGCTGTGAAGCAAGCATGTAAATTTGCTAAAGAACATGCCCTTAAGAATGGACCCATTGTGAGAACCTGCGTTAAATCTTTTGTTTATTTTTTTGTTAATTATCTTCTTATGAGACTTGATACTTTTGTTTCTCGTAGTAATCATCTGACTATTTTTCTATTACGTGAAAGTTGCAAATTTTTTCTGGAAGAAAAATCTTAACTTATAATATATATTTGAAGAAACCATTACTTGCATCATTCTTCTTTAATTGTTCACCTAATATACAGATTGATATAGACTATCTCACAGTTTGTTATAATATCACTCCTCTCATTTGCTATCTTTTCTTTTCTTGCTTACATGCATATAATCCACACTTCGGTACCTAGTTTATGTTGCCTTCAAATATCCTCTTCTTTTTTGCAGTATTGCTTCTGCAGGATTGGTTTGTAGTTTTTTTTGGCTAATACTCACTTTTTTATAATATTGCTTTTGGAGTATTATTATGAGATATAGTATCTGTGAGGTTCATTTTTGGTATTATCTGCGAAGTTGGAATCAAATTCTACAAAAATGGTCACAAAGCCAGCAGAGTGCTTTACAGGTCAGATATAGAATAATCAAATAATGCCGTACCCGTAGTATTTATTTATATAAAATGGGATGAAATGGATGACTGATCATGCAACAATAGATTGCAGAAGATATAAAGTGCATACACTGGAAGTTGAAGGTATGTTCAGATGAACTTAGGGATAAAATTATTAGTGATGGTTTTAACATGTATAACATTGAATGGTCGGTGCCACAGTCCCGAGGAGCAAGAAAATGATAAAAGAGTCCTGAGAGGGTAGTCAACATGAAACTGGATGAAGTTGTATGGGTTTTACATTTGCAGCTCCGAAAGCGGAGATGATCTTGGTAAAGTTGAATGGAGAAGAAAAGGACCAATATAACCACTGTTTTCGGGTACTTTTTATCTGCCTACAACCACCACCAAAATTTACTGTCAACATCTGTAGAAGACATTATCTTGATGAAAAGGACCAAATCAAACTCTGCAACAGATTTTCCATTAAATATACTATGGATTTTCTATAGGAAAAGTTAACTTTTTATTTGTTAGAAGCATTTTAATCCTAAATTAAATAAATCTATATTTTGTTAGAAAATTCTCTTTTCTGTCTGTCCCTCTGTTCTTTTGACTTACTCATATAGATCTCACGAATGTGGGACACCATAGCGAACCATGACCAGTATTTAATCGTTACTGAATGCGGTACATGTCGCTGAATGCGGTACACTAGCAAATTGGGTCACGTTCCAAAGCGACCCAGTTTGCTAACTTCGGCGACCCGATTTAGAATCCATATTTATTAATATTTTTATAAGACAACCATTTTTAGAAAAATAAGCAACAAAAGTGTACCTTAATTGCAACTTGAGAATTTTTTTTACCGTTGCTGATCCTTGAATTTGATTCTTGAAGAAAATTGTACACTTTGAGTAAAAATTGTACACTTTGGCACTCAAATTACTACACTTAGTCTACCTTGTACCATATAAGCCTGCCCCCCCCCCCCCCCAAACAAAAAAAAATACCCGATTCCAAATAAGTCGTGTACACCACTCCCGTTCCCGTTCCGTGAATAGGAACCAGCTGGATTACATGATACTATGCCTTAACTCTCACCTTTTTTTCTCTATAAATGAGTATTTCTTCTCACTTTCCACTCTTTTTTCTGCTTGGTTGTCACAGATAGACTTCCTATGGCTACTAGTTCTTTCTCACACAGATGAGTATCTAACGAAGCATGAAAGCCTGGATTATGAATATGATTTTGACATTGATACAAGCTTTATACTCCAACATGGACACTGGGGCTCAGATATGGCAATTATCCAAAATACAAAACAGATATGACTTGTATATATTTGAACCAAGCAGTTAGCATATAGGAACAACCTAATTTTAGTAACTGATGTCAAAAGACATTTAGTTTTTGTTCGGTGGGAATAATTACGCATTTGTAACTGTTGGATATGAATAGATGTGCTTGTTATGTCTGGGTGCGGTGGACCTGCAAAATTTCCATTCATGGAAAGTCGTGCATATCATAGGACTTGAGTAGATCTTCCAGAATGCAGACAACTTTAGTTAAGTTCTTGTTTGTTATTGTCTATGTTACCTGGGTACTCCTAATTTGGAGCCATTCTGACATTTCTTGGATACTCCTTAAATATATGCATATATTTGTCCAGACTTGTACTCAATTATACAATGCATGTTTAATTTAAAACGCTCGTCATAAACTTCTTGGATATATATTCCACACTTCACAACCATTTTGTAACTTTTTGGATAAGGGCCGGGTTAGTTTCAGCCTTAAAGACCCAGGATTTAAAAGGATTTAAAGGGTCATTTACATAGATAGCTCAGTACCATGATTATTTCCTATGAGTTTCAGTTGTGTCCTCGTATCCAACCTTTTACAAATTTTCGTGTCCCGTACCTGCACCCATACCCACATTACATGTGCCCGTGCAACTTAGGTTATTGTTATGTCATGATTACAGTTTAATTTTGGTAAAATTATATTGCTTATGTGAAGCCATCTAACCTAATCATTCACTTCCCACCTTCCAATTTGTTTAGATGAGGAATAATTAAAGCACAGTGACTTCCTAGCAAGTGCAAAATGACGTGGCTTGACTGAGAATGGTTGTAAAGAACGATGCGTAGAAAAAAAATAGTTGTTTCTTGAGATTTTGGTAATTTCTATTCAAGTGGGTTTCACCTCATGTAGTTATAAGTATACGATTTTTGGTTTGATTTACTTGATATATGGTTTATGAAGAAATATCTAACTAACATCTTTTCACCACGTACCTTCTTTTAAATCGAGAAATGCAAGAATTAGCATAGTGACTTTCCAATAAGTGTAGAAGAAAGTGGCTTATGAGAATGGCTGTATATGATGATGATGCTCAAAAGAAAACATGTCGTCTCCTTAGATGCGATATCTACATTTCTACTCAAACAAGTTTCACCACTTATTATTGGGAACTGTGTAGTAGACTCTTATATTGTCATATTATATTTTCTTATAGGTTGAAGGTATATAGACAAAATTGAAGAAGGAAGTGCTATAGGGTTTAAGATCTTGAAGCAGTATTGTCTGAGTAACCTCACTTATTTATTGCTGTTATAGGATAGAAAAGTTGTTTTTTCCTGAACTATGGATTATGGGCTCATAAAATATTGCATGTTTTATTAAACTGTTGGATTGCTTAACTCTATAAGAGTGTCAAAGTGCCTAGTTTTCCATTCACAATGCTTTACATTTCTATAGAATTTACGTAGCTTACATGTATATTGCACATTTGCACTGTTCTTATGATAAGACCTTGTTAGAATTTAGGGCAACACCTCCATTGCATTTGTCATTTTTAGTTGTTTGGTATAGCATATCATATGCCATGACATCATGAATGGCTTGAGAATTAACACAAAAACACGCGCGCATGCACACACAAAGTAGAATAAAATAACACACACATATATGAAAAATATGAGTATATAGGTATACAAAAAAATTGAGTATATATGTACCAAGCACAATATTGGTGCTTGGTAGTGATGTGAATGCTTCTCATCCACACATTTATATGTGCTCATTTAAAAATTGTCCTCACTTGATTATGCACCTATTAAATGAGTGGATGAGAAGTGGCCACAACACTATCAAACATCGAATTTGGTGCTTGTTACCAAGAATACCAATATTCCTTTGTATATGTATATATGTACATGTATGTATGTGTGTATGTATGTATGTACGTACGTACGTACGTATCTATGTAGATCTCTCTTCTTCCTCCATTATATATACATATATGCATATATACATACATATAGAGAAACTCCTATAAACTTAAGTGGATAGAATTTCTTGTCCTTCAACTTTTTGGCCTTTAATTTTGCTTTGAGATTTGCATTCAAACATGAATGTTATCTTTGAGATGTGTGCCTTGATTTGTATGACATGCTTGCACAAATCTCAAAGTAAAATCAATGGATGAAAAAGTTTCTTTTTTCTCTCTATATATATGGGTAGGGTTGCAATACACCTATGATATAACTTAGTTACACACCTTTAAAAGTTCGCCTTTACCCATCGATATTATAAATCCAAACCATTTATTGTTATCTACATGTCATCAAATGAGTATGGATAAAAAATCGTGTGGTTTGCGATTTTCTATCCTATAATTCAAGAAACTCAAAATAACTGACATTTTAGACTGTCACAGACCTTTCATATCTAGTCCTTAGATGTAAAAAAAATATCTTATGTATGTTATTTAATTTCCATGAAGTTTTGAATACATAGACCACAATGGACGATGTTGATCATTAATATCGATGGTCAAACACGTATTTTTACGGGTGAGTAAGTACACCCTAGGTACTGTAAGCCTACCCTATATATATGTATGTTTGTGTTTGTGTGTTGTGTGTGGAGAGAGAGATGAGTATCCTTGGTACCAAGAACTGAGACAACTCATTCTAATCCACTCATTTGAATGGTTCCTACTTGAGAATGCTCCACTCCCTGAAAATGAGGGGATGAGAACAAGCCACCTTACTACCAAGGAACAAAATCGGTCCTTGATGCCAAGAACATCCATATTCCTCATATATATGTATATGTGTGTGTGTACGAGTCTTGCTTTAGTACATCAAAATAAGGATTTTATTATTTTTATTTAATTTGAATTAAAAAGGTAAAATTGTACTTTTCCTCTTATCTTTCTTCCTCACCACTCATTATGCAATATTTTCATAGTCGTCGTCCACAACTTCAGATAATGAAGAAAATAGAGTTAGATCACAGAGTTACCAATTTCCTGATTGTAAACTTTGAAGATAGTCTAATTGAGTTAGAATTAATAGATTGGTCTAAAGTTATTTCTAGGGTTCCAAGGACAAAGTTAGAATGAAGAACGATAACAATGGCACATTGTCGAATTAACCAGGACTAATGAACTCAAGCAGTTTAGGCGTGATTAGAGGATTTGTCTACGATCGCGGGCGAGAGGAGGATGAGTCCTTCGCCTCTACCAGAGAGCATGGACGTCACACTTGCCTAGAGAGACAAAGCAGTTGAGATCGCACTTGTTTAATTTTGACTGGCTGTCGAGGAATTCATAAGAGCAGGGAGAAAGAGAATTAATAAGGTTCTATGAAATTACTCTTGAAAGTTGAATTATAAGGAAGTTGCCAGTGGAACTGAACTGATTTCATCGATTTCAGCGGAAACGAGTGAGCTATGATTTTGATAAATATTTACGATACTTGTCATCGGTACTCTAAAGTTCATTTTCTGGAGTATCGAAGTTATTGGTTATACACACACACACATGACTATACACACACATACATATATATAATATCCTACATCCTGATTTCCAAAACTTTGAAAATCAGGGGGTAAGGTATTTTTTGAGAAAACGGAAGGTAGGCTGACAATTTAGGAAATTTTCTATGCTGTCAGCGCACCTTTCGCACGTGACAATAAGGTTCTTTGAAATTACTCTTGAAAGTTGAATTATTAACGAAGTTGCCAGTGGAACTGAACTGATTTCACCGATTTCAGCGGAAAAGAGTGAGCTATGATTTCGGTAAATATTTAAGATCCTTCCATCGGTACTCTAAAGTTCATTTTCTGGAGTACCAAAGCTGGCGGCTATATATATATATATATACATGTATACATACATATATATATATACATATGTATACATATATGTATGTATACATATGTATACATATATACATATGTATACATATGTATATACATATGTATACATATGTATATGCATATGTATACATATGTATATATATAGAGAGATTAATGAGTATCATATGTCATATGAGGGGATTCCCTCATATATAATGACGTGGTACAATCTCCACCAAGTGAATAAAGTAGGAGAGAGAATGCCTCATGACTATACTTAGTAGAGATTGTGCCACATCATTGTATATGAGAAAATCCACTCATATGACATATGATACCCATTAATCTCATATATATATATATATATATATATATATATTAATATATATATTATATATATATAATAATATATATATATATATATATGAGAAAAACGAAAGGTGGTTGGCAGCGGCAAGCGATTTTCTGTGCTGTCGCCACGTGGCAAGTCCCTATTTGCTGAAAATTTTTATGCTTTCAAGGATATGATTGGAATAATTATAATTCATATGTGAAATTAAAGAAAAAGAGGGGTTAGGTGTAAATGTTCTCGTAAATTCATCTCCCCGCTCACGTTACTTCTCCTTTGTTGTCCGAAATAGCAATCGAACCTAGTCAAATACCTTTGCCCATTAACTAATAAGGCATTCACGGAATTGCCATTAGCAGCAAAGTCCAGTCCACCATTATTTTTTATCCAAAGTCCAATTGAACCCAAAATCCTTTTCGCCCCATAGCTTCTGGTCTTTAAATGATTGTTGGTAGGTTTCCTTCTTTATGTGCTCATAAGCCCCATTTCTTCATTTCCATACTTCTACTCTCTTGGTGTCTGTGATAAATTGGTAAACTATTAGGTAATTTCGAAGAAATGGTGGGTGATTTGAATTTTTTGAAGAGATTTTAATTATTTTTGAGTGATTTGTCGAAGGAATAAAGAAGAAATTGGAGTATGTCATGCTAGATTTTCTTGTTAGTTTTTTAAAAGATCCACTTAACTATAGAACTTATTGATCAAAAGCAAAGTTTTCCAAGGTAGGGGGTTTCTCTCCAATCTTGAAGAACAAATCAGTTTTTGAGTTCTCTAATCTGAAGAACAAGTTGTGTGAGGAGAGAGATGTTGGATGTAATTTGGGTTTCACAAATCACAAATCTAAGATTTGGGACGAAAAAAGGGAAGGAGCAAAAACATGAGATGGAGAAGCTGCTGTTGGTGGACATAAAGTTGTGAAGTCTTTTGCATTCAAGTCCTCGTAGTTTTTAGTTTTATATATAACTATTAACCGTTTCTAAATTATCTTTTTTAAAAACTCCACACACTTTTAGCAAATAGGGAGCTTAGACGTGGCGACAGTGCATAAAATTTCTTGTGTTGTCAGCTTACCTCACATTTCGTTGGTGTGTGTATGAGGAAACTGGCTATAAGCTGACAGCCCATTTTACATAATGAGTTGCCAATCTACAGCCATGTGAGCCCTACACCGATGTGACTAGCGGGAGGCTCACATGACATAGGTTTAGCTACCCATTTAATCTAATACTATTATTAAAGTGTGTTGGTATGTTAAAACATTTCTTCTAAAAATACCCTTTAAAACACATACATGCATACATAAAACACATGCATCTATACATAAACCATACATCATACATACATAACCCCCAATTAAATGCATTATTATTCATAACCCCTAAAATAATTTCACCATGAATAAGTTGTTTATATTTTTATATCCTCTCATTAACATATTATTTGACGTTAAAATTTTTAGTCTTTTTTCTTCGTTACGCTGGAAAATATGGACTGCTATGTGCATATTATGCTAATGCTAAAGATCTTTGCATATACATAGTAAGAGCAGAACCTAAAAATCTCAAACTCATCTAATACTATTATAAAAGTGTGTTGGTATGTTAAAACATTTCTTCCAAAAATACCCTTTAAAACACATACATGAATACATAAAACACATGCATCTATACATAAACCATACATCATACATACATAACCCCCAATTAAATGCATTACTAAATTCTGGAAATAACACATCAAGTTACTTCCCTTCGTTACTTCCCTTCCAACTGATCAAGTAAGATGAATAATTGAAGAAGAAACAAAGAGTAGTTTCCCATATTTATATAAACGAGTTTGAGATTTTTAGGTTCTGCTCTTACTATGTATATGCAAAGATCTTTAGCATTAGCATAATATGCACATAGCAGTCTATATTTTCCAGCGTAACGAAGAAAAAAGACTAAAAATTTTAACGTCAAATAATATTCAGTCTGCTATTATGGAAATTAACTTTGAACTGAGGATATACTTTGGTCATACCCATCATGATGGTTCCTTAAAAAATCATGTACTGAGTTGCAAAATCCATCCTTCACAAAAAGTTTTGTCTGATTGAAATTTGTAGGTTCAACTTAAAAATATTATTAGAGCAAAATAATGACAACATTACTGTAAGACCCCATAACTTTTTTTTGATAATGTTTGTTCTTAACAATTGAAGAAGCTCTGATTAAGTCTTTTCAGAGGATTATATAGATTTTGGTTAATTTATTAGCTCTGATAGAGTATGTTCTTAGTTGTCATAGAACATAAATTTTTTTATATTAAATACAAAATATTTAAATTATTATTTTATAGTCAGTATGTTATTTATCCTTCCTAATGGTATAACTATATTACAAATTTGTGAATAAAAAACCCAGCATGTGTTAAATTATAAACGTCAGACATTATGTTAAATTATAAAATACATAGAATTATGCTTTTTAGGTTCACAAATTGAATAATGTCTTACAGGTATTCCATAAGTTTTATTGGAAAGCTCTGGTTTCATAAAACTAAAATTTTAGAAAAATTATAGAGTAAACCTCTGGTTTCATAAAACTAAAATTTTAGAAAAATTATAGAGTAAACCTTTAAATTTGCAAAACAACCCTAAAACTTCATAATTTTATAGATATGCTATACCTTTAAATTTGCAAAACAACCCTAAAACTTCATAATTTTATAGATATGCTATAAAATTTGCAGAAAGGACCTTGAAATGTCACAAATAAACCTCATAAAGATTATATTTACTCTAGGATTTTAATGATAAAAAGATAGCAAAAATCCACAAATTACATCTAACACCAAACTTATTATAAAAAAAGATAAACATAAAATTAATCCAACAACGTGCAACGCACGTGCACTATACTATTTTGCAAAATGGGCTATTAGCTCAGCTCATATACATTTTTCCTATGTGTGTGTGTGAGAGACAACATTTGCTGTATAACTTTGAAAGCAAGCACAGGAGTCCGGTGAAATGCTCTTTTGTTGGTAGTTTTATCACACTACCATGGGGGTGCTTATCATAATTCTGAGATATAGTGAATGCATATCTAAAGCTGTAATTCCTTAGAAAATGAATGATCAATACCTGTATATAATTATTCCTTTTGTTCTTACATCCCTTTATCACCCATTAATTCTCTGAAGCAGTAAAAATATATCATTTTTTGAGGGAAGTTTCAAGGTTGCCTCACTCTCTTAATCAGCCTTTTTCAAGTCATTAATTGCTTGTTTGATTTCCCTCCCTGTGCAATAAAAGTGCTACCTTTTCTGAAGGCTAATTCCAATTTTCTGGCGTAAATTTTGAGATGGTGGGGCCTAATGCAATATTTTGGATGTTGACTTGCAGATCCTTGAAATGGACACATACAGATACCACGGTCACTCCATGTCTGACCCTGGGAGCACCTATCGTACCCGTGATGAGATCAGTGGTGTGAGACAGGTTGGTTTGATTTAACTACTAACTCAGTTCTGTGAGTACGCTTTTTTGTTATTATTTAAGCTTTATCTGATACATCGTGTGTTAACAGGAACGTGATCCAATTGAAAGAGTTAGAAAATTGATACTAGCCCATGATGTAGCAACTGCCGCAGAGCTCAAGGTAATCATTCTAATTGGAAGCATCACTTATAGAATGTGTTATTGGAATTTGGTAGTGTTGGGTATTTAGCTCCTTGAATTTCTTTTGTTCCCTCATCTTCTCTTACTACACAATTATTTCAGGATATTGAGAAACAAGTGAGGAAGGAAGTAGATGATGCCATTGCTCAGGCCAAGGTAACTAACTCCCGTAACTGCATCATCAGCAATTGATTTCTGTGCATGTTTTTATGTATTAATTGGATGACTGACATATGAATGAATTCCTTGCCATTTACAGGAAAGCCCAATGCCTGATAGTTCAGAGCTATATACCAACGTGTATGTCAAAGGATTGGGTGCAGAGGTAGCAAAATAATATCATATTCCTGATATGTATTTTCCTTTTTTGAAAATTTTTTCTTATCTTGTCAATTTTTTTCCCAAAAGAGTTTTGAGAATAATCTGCGTATTCCTAATATTTATGTTGCCAAGTTCTCAGGAAACCATTTACGTGTAGTTGTCGTCTTATATTGGGAGGATGTTTGTTTGGGTAACGGGTTTGTTGTAAAGTCTTGACAGGGCATTTATAAATCCTGTATTTCTCTGTTTCAGGTGTTTGGTGCAGATAGGAAGGAGGTGAAGAGTGTTCTTCCATGAAAAAAGAGAACTTCTTTGAGATCAGAAAAGCTTGAAAATAATCGTTGGACTTCCTTTTGGATGACAAAATTTTGAAAATAATTATTGGTTTGCAGGGTGATTAAATGTAGTTGTGCTTGTGCGTTTCTAGAGGGCATGCCACCGTGCAATTTTAGGAATATCTGGCACTTCATATTTCTACAACTTAGATGGACATAAAGCAGGCCTGTTTTCAAGTCTTTTTGCTATTCTTTATTTTTCGTTGGCACGAGTGATGCGTATTATATCTTAACAGAATCGAACATTTGGTCAGTCTTAGGTATCAACATTTTGAGGGAATTGTTTGGTTTTGCTGGCTTCTGCTGTATAGCTAGAAAGCCGATGACTGATTTTTATGGCATCTAAATGGGTTTTATCACTGTTTTAAGGTACGTAGTTGTGGTTATTATAGAGATGATATATCTGGTCCAATCAGCAATCATATTCGTGGCGAATAAGGGACGATTGTTGCGACGATTGTCGCGCACGAAATTAACTATCTCAGAGACCAAATGGAATATGCCATGTGTCTAGTTCACGTGGCAATAAAGGTGGACAACTCTTAAGTAATTAGGAGTAGTTATGAAAACATTTAAAATTCGGTTGTCCATCTAAGCTCGACGAGTACGGTCTTTCCCCCTGAAGTCCCTTCTCTTTGCTAGGGAGATGGTTTTGAGTGCCCTCATAGAATGGACTACTTTTTAATGAGCCAATCAAGGTAAAGAAGGTAAAGCTGATATTAGGCACCACAAAAGCGCTACTATATCTTATTTCCTCTGAAATACATTGCAATCAAACAGCTCCTAAGCCACTTCGAAATTGACAATCTGAGAGAATGTTGACTGCGACCACTTTGAAATTGACATTCTGAGGTTAACTCTGGCCACTTTGAAACTGACAATGTGAGCCAAGGTTGAGTCACCTTGGAATCACCGGTCTTGGTGAGTTAGTCGCTCACTTCAGCCTCGAGCCTAACGCAATTTGTCTTTGGCAAGCTTGAGCTTGGCCTGGGATAAAATTCACAAATATTGCTTTACCTTGTCACATGACCGTCTGCCTTAAAGAATGGCAAAGCGTGAGGGAGCTTGTTTCATACTGTGGTCTTTTTAGATACTACGCCGCCTTACTTTCAATACATGACCTTTTAAATCAAAGGAGCAGTGGTCATCAAGAGTATTGCCTCCTCTAGTAAGAAGCGAAACATGCATCAATATTAGTGGTGCACGATGCGCTCACATGCCCATTTCCTTTGATCTGACTATATATTTGTTCGCCTACATAAATAAACTAGCTTTTCTACCACTGCAAAACATGGCGTATCATTAAATAATTAGTCCTCAAATTTTATAATAATGGATTTTGTGATTATATAAGTTATTTTACAATAGTGTTGTCTCATCAAAAATTTTAGATCCGTTGAATGTCAGGATTACTATCCAAAAAGTTAATGATGTTACTCATCTGAAGTATGTGTATTACAAACCTGAAATGCAAAGAGCAGATGTGCAAACGTGGACTTGTGTTTTAAATAAATCATGCTTATATTTTCTGGATCTAAAATTCTTCTTTCCTTTCATGATGCACAACTTCTGCCGTAATATTAAGATTTGATTTTGTCATTGTTTATATCTGTTTAACAATGTATAGAGATGGTAACCTTGGAACATGTTTACCGAAACGTATGTCAATAAATAGAGAAGACAGATTCAATCTCTCTATTTGCATGAGTTCTTTCTCTTTATGATACATGCACAATAATATCATGAAAAGAGCTTTTTCCCCAAAATATCATGAAAAGCGAAAATTAAGATATTTGGACTTGCTATGATTGAGTGCATATCAATTATATTGGTGGGGAAATGTATGAACGACACATATAGGGAACTAGTATAGTGCACGTGCGTTGCACGTGGACATATTTATTTTATGTTCTAATACTTTACACAATTCATTATTTAATTAATGGATTAGTTTCAATTTGAATGTAATTATAACAACATTTGAGGACTTATTTGTAATTTTCTTACAATTTAGATCATATACTTCTTAATTATAACAACATTTGAGGACTTATTTGTAATTTTCTTACAATTTAGATCATATACTTCTTTCAATCTTCTTAAGATTTAAGTTTTGAACTATATAGGGGTTTATCTGTAAAAAATAATGAAGTTTTAGTATTTTTCTATAAAATATATGAAATTTCAATGGTCTTTGTGAAAATTATGAAGATCCATGGTTGTTTGTGAAAATTTTTAGGGTTACTTTATGAACATTGGCAAATCATGGAATACCCAAAAGATACAATTATTTTTTATTCTTAAAAGACATGGTTCTATTTACTTTATAATTTAAGATAATGAATGACATTTAATAACTACTGATAGTTTAATGTGCAAATTTAGAATATAGTTTTAACATTAGGGAGGTTATAATATACTTACTATATAAAAAAATTTACCAAAAAGATAAAAATTCTAAGTTTGTTCTTTACTTTTATGTTAAGTGTATCATGTTATTCCAGTTTATATTAATTATCTTTATTTTTGCTAATCCATTATAACAAAATAAAATTCTCACTTTCACCTTCTCTTTCTTCTATTATCATATAATTAGTAACATGCTATAAAAAATATATCTACTAAGTTCATGGATAATACAATATTTCTCTCAAATCACAATTAAGTACATGGTAATAATTATAGAAATAGAAAAAAACGTTCATTAACCCCCTATCCCCCAAATTAGACCTCAAACTTTAGCCTCAATCCGAATACTTCACATTTCATTGTATCAATCGTATCCTCAATCCGCATATAATCGTCAGTCTAACAATCACATCAGTATAAAGTATAATCCGAGTAAAGCTCAGTACTTCCTCAGCACAACTTCAATCGTCTTCACCCCCCCCCTCCTTCCTTTCTGAAGGGATAATATTTTCACTAGCGAGCTTGTATCATCCAAATAATATCATAGTAAAGCCATGGGGGTGAGTATAGGATGCTGTTAGGGTTGTAAGAGGTGAGTGTAAATCTAAATCATCAAATGAGTGAATTTATATAGGTTGCAAAGAAGGGCTATTATGATAAATAAAAAAGCAGGCTCTTTGGATTCCGTAACATTCAAATGTAATTGCCACTTAAATAAAAACTTCAATTGAAAATTTAACTCTCATTTCAAGTATGCATGAATGCATGCACTAATGGCATTTTAAGTTGACACTTTGTTTGCAAATTTTCAAGTATGCATGAATGCATGCACTAATGGCATTTTAAGTTGACACTTTGTTTGCAAATTGAAACGTATATTATTAGTTTGTCATATGTGCGTTTTAAGTGGAGGGGTTACAAAAAATAAAAGTTAATATTAGTGGACAATTAATAGGAGAGTTATGCCATTATTAAGAATATATGCATGTATATGTATGTGTTTATATGTATGCAAATTTTTTATGATAACATTAATATTAGATTAGTGGAGGGGTTATAAAAAATAGAAGTTAATATTAGTGGACAAGTAATAAGAGAGTTATGCCATTATTAAGAATGTATGCATGTGTATATATGTGTTTATATGTATACAAGTATGTGTTCTATGGATGCATGTATGTGGTTTGGAGGATATTTTTAGAAGAAATGTTTTAACATACCAACACACTTTTATAATAGTGTTAGATATTTTCTAATTTTTTGGTTTGTGAAGCTATGCCCGAAAGAAACATACCTCCACAACAAATAGAAACTTGAATTGAATAAAAATGACATATCACCACTAAACTAATGAAAATGAAATTTAGTTCTGATAAATCACCATTTAAGTTCTGATAAATCACCAAATCTGTACGATCCCCACCATCTACAAAAGAAATTCATATTTACACAAAAAGAGCAATTATCTAAAAATAAGGACAAATCAACACATCATTTATGAACAAATTTTATTCTATTAGAAACTAAATGAGAAAGATTGCAAGTACGTAGTATATTTTTAGCCTTTGTATTAGTTCTTAATTTTCTCTAGATACTTAATTCTTTCATATTATGAAAGTAGTCACATGCTTGAAAAATGCTCCTAAAATATTTTATTAAACCTAATTTCAAAACAACCACTGTAGTCTATATCAAATTTCTGTCTGGTCTATATGATTAAAGAAGGACAAACCAATTACATGAAGCACAATTATTTAAGTTAATATGCAGCATGGTTATGCTTTTCAATAATGATAATCAGATAAAGCTTGAAAGCTATAGAAAATACATGATTGCTATTGCACATGACGATCATTATGGGATACATTTTAGATAATCTTTGGTGTTGTGAGCGTCCTTCTGGAGCATCATCTTTGTGTGGAGGGCCAGTTATAGGTAGAGTTGTCAGTACATTGGACCAGAATGGAAGCAGAAATCTATAGAAATTATATCGGAAATGACCCGCATTTAGATTTTCTAATCATTGTTTAATTATGCGAGGTTCAACGGTAAGCTATGCAAATTAAAAGCATATGGTCTCAAGCACCTTGTAACAAAACAATCAACTTGCAGGTTATTTATTTCCGCCAATGTTTTGGTTCAACATGATAGCATTTCATAAACCAAACCACTTATTCATTATCTACACAGAAAAACTAAGCCCACACCAACTATTAGGTTCATTAATATATGAAACAGTCAACGAAAATGGCCTGTAAATAGGGAGAAGAGATTCTGAGGAGCCCTTAAATTTTACCCCACTCTTGTAAGAAGGCATCAATTTAACCCCCCGCCCCCCCCAAAAAAAAAAGAAAAAAAGAAAAAAAAGAAAAAAAAGAAAAAAAAAAGAGTGAAATAGAAACCTAGAAACCTGTAAGGAACCAATTGAGCCAAAGCTTGGTCAAAGTCTCATCCTCTAGATCATGTTGGCTACCCTTGCAAATCAAAGGGAGCATGATCGCCTGCTCTAATGGGTGGCGGAGCGTGAGAGAGCTTGTTCCATACCGTTGTCTTTTTAGATAGGACAAATTTTTAAAAAGAACCGTTTTCAACTTTAATGTGCAAAATCGACCATTTCAAAAAAAAATTAGCAAAATCGACCCTTTTCATTTAAAAAGGGTCGATTTTGCTGATTGGGAGTTTTTTTGGAGTGTACGGGACTGCTAGTCCCGTGCATCCTATCTCTCTCTCCTCACTCACCTCCCCCTCTCTCTCTCTCTCTCTTAGAAGAATACATTTTTCAACCTGTTCGCGGTGAAAGTTGCTTTCATTGAATTCATTGCTTTCTCAAGTAACTGTTTTTCGATTATAAAAGATCCGGTCTTTTTATAAGATCCGGTTACAACGAGATCAAAAGAAATAAAAATTACAACTTTCCTTATTTGTCGAACAAATCGCGAGATCCTGTTTT